AATGTTCCAGAGGAACTTTGGGTGACTGTCCAGGCAACCAAATGTCTCTGTTGTTAGATAATATTACATCCTTCTGGGTCTTTGATGGAGTTGAAGACTAGATAGTTATAGTTGCAGTTTTCCTTAGTTATGATAGAAAGTAAGTTAGGTGTAAAATTTTGGATTTGCCAAGATAGCATAGATAATGCAATTTTTTCTCTGAATATGCTAACTACAAATAGGCAGAATATTGTGAATGTAATCCTTACTTGGTAACTGTTATTGTATATAGTCTTACTATGTTTAAGTTAAAAACCATTCATTTTTATTTAGACAAAAAGGGGAAATGTAGTAGAATATTATTTTAAGGTGTGTTTCTCTTGTTCATGTTGCATTTGTTTAGCTCTGTGAAGCTGTGGTACTGTGCCTGTCTAAAACACCTGATGCTCTAATAAAGAGCTGAATGGCCAATAGCAAGGCAGGAGAAAGGATAGGAGGGGCTGGCAGGCAGAGAGAAGAAATAGAAGGAGAAATCTGGGAGGAAAGAGCTAGGAGCTGGAGAAGGTGAAAGATGCCAGGGTCCAGCCACCCAGCCACACAACCAGCCAGCCACGGAGTAAGAGTAAGATTTACAGAAGTAGGAGAACAGGAAAAGCCCAGAGGCAAAAGGTAGATAAGTTAAGAAAAGCTGGCTAGAAACTGAGCCAAGCTAAGGCCAGGAATTCATAATTAAGAATAAGCCTCCCTGTGTGTGACTTTTTTGGGAGCTGGGTGGTGGGTCCCCCCAAAAAAGACTAAAAACCCCCCAACAACAGAGTTTGAATTAGAATGGCCCCCATGACATTTGACTTGGTCACCAGCTAGTTGAACTGTTGGGGAAGAATTGGGAACTGTAGCCTTGTTGGAGACATGTCATTGTGTCACTGGGAGCGGGCTTTGAGGTTTCCAAAGTCCACATCTGACCAGTCTCTGCCTATTTCCTACGGATCTGGATGTGAAGCTCTGAGCTGCTGCCTGTCTGCTTCCTGCCATGATCATGGACTAATTCTCTGAAACTGTAAGCAAGCCCCTTGATTAAATGCTTTCTTATAAGAGTTGCCTTGCCTGGGCGTGGTGGTGCACACCCTTCATCCCAGCACTCAGAGGCAGAGACAGGTAGATTCCGGAAGTCGAGACCAGCCTGGTCTACAGAGTGAGTGCCAGGACCGCCAGGACTATGGTAAGGGCTACACAGAGAAAACCTATCTCAAAAAGCAAAACAAAAACAACAAACAAACAAAGGGCTGGAGAGATGGCTCAGCCGTCAAAAGCTAGGCTCACAACCCAGACTCTGAGCTGCCGAGGTCAGGGTGTCTCTTCACAGCAACGTAACAGTAAATAGGGCATCTGCCAATGGAAGGACTTCAGGCATCAGCCTCTGGCCAAGGAAAGATCTGGACATAAGGCTAAGGGGGTGCCATCTCTCTTGTTTGTCACCAGGAGGCCCAAGGACAGAGGTGCTGGAGGCTGGTGTCCTCCAGAGCCCAGTGGCACAGAGGAGATGTGGACAAGGGGTACTGTACTACTCTGAACTCCTAGTGTGACCTAGTTTACAAAAAACTGGTGTGGGGATCTGAGTGGCATTTCAGTCCTGCAAGATACTCCTCTCACAACCAGGTGTGCACATACCTGGCCTCTAGACTGAACCTGCAGGAACCCACCTCCAGGGCAGCTCCCCTCCCCTCCTACCCCTCCCCTTCCCCTCCACTCCCCTCCACTCCCCTCCCTAGTCAGGGATCCCAGGTGACAATCATCCTTCGGGCAACTATGAGCTTTTTGAAAGCAGCTAGCAAGCAGGTCTGTGGTGTCACAGCGCGAGTGTTGGTATGGGTGGACAGCGACCAGGCCAGGAGCTGCTGTGGACTCACTCACACCACCTCGGGAGCACACACTGGATGACTCCAGGGATGATGGCAAAATCTATTAAAGTCAAACTGTATCCAGCCCATGATGGAGCAGGTCACCCCTGGGGTCACAGCAAAGGGAAATGACCACTGTGCCCATCAAATAACATGTGTAATGGCCAGTTATGTCAGCACACGCCCTAATCCTAGCACCTGGGAGGCAGAGACAGGCAGATCTCAGGCAGCCAGGGCCACAGAGTGAGGCTGTGCCTTAAAAAGACAATAATAATAATCACACGTGAAAGTGGGGGCAGGCTATGGGAAAAGTAAAAGCATTCCTAGCAGAGTTATTTCCAGTGCCCAAACTGGAAATGCCCCTGTCCATCAACAGAATGGACAAACACAGTGTTCATATAATGAAATGCCACTCAGCAGTGAGAGAGCAAATGGCTATATGAGCCACAGGACCGACTCAGAAACACAAAGCTGAATGAGAAGCCAGACGCGGAAATGCACGTGGCACACGATTCCATGCACATGGAATTCCCCAAAAGGCAGTCCCCATGAAGCAGAGTAGGGACCAGGAAGGCAATGGAAATGTTGTGCATTTTGACCTGGGTGGAGGTTTTCACGGCTGGATCCGCTAATAAAATTTACAGAGACTCAGGCTGCAGCCGGTCTATCTTAGGTACTCCTTGTAAAGCTGCGTCTGGAACAATTCCAGACTTAGCCTCAAAAGTGATACGTCCACCTAAGGTGAGTGACCTCTTGTCCTTGACGCGGGCAGTTCTACCCAAAAGCAGAGACAGGAACTTTCCATACCAGCAAAGAATTATATGGCCATTTGTTGACTCATTCCTTGACATTTGCATGTGGAATGGACTCTGGTCTGCGGCCCATGTCGTAGTTTCAGTGTGAAATGTCCCCAGCAGTCTATGTGTTTCAACATTTGTTCTCAGGCTCGACGATGTCAGGTCCAAAGGAAACTCCGTTTCTCCAAATTCCAGAAGGCAGAAGGGACACATAGTTGTCCACAGTGTCTATTAGCACACCAAAGTGCACGCTGGCCCCCAGGCTCCCTCAGTATCACAGGTACCTGTTACACATCCTTCTCACCCTACCTAAACTGCCCGGCGCCTGGGCTTCCCTCCCTGCAGCTAGTCATTCTCCTTATAACCCTACTGGGCTTCTGACCCCCCTCTCTCTCTGCTCCTTCTCCTCATGGCCAAGTCCAGTCTGCTGGCCACGCCCAGTCTACTTTTCTCTCTCTACTCTGGACTCTTCCAGACGTCTCTGCCTGTTCTCCACCTCATCTACAATTGAAAACCTTCTCCTTAACCATACCATGGAGCCATCAGGGAACCGTTAGGAGGTGGAGTCTCACCAGAGGAAAGCTTTATGGACTGAAATCACTTCCTGGTCAGCACTCTGCCTGAGTGTGGATGCAACATGATGAGACGCCTTCTGACCCTGCCACCACATCTTGCCACAGTGGACGGTATCCCTCTGAAGCGGTGAGCCGAAATAAGGCCTTGCTTTTGCCAGAGTATTTTATCACTGCGATATGAAAGTAAGGAACACTGCCTCCGTCTGTGAAAAGGTACCACGTAGCCTAGTTGCTGGAAGTGGATCTTGTTAACATTTAGGCATCTGTACTGGCCTGCCCTTAGGGTCCTGACAGGATAGACCTCTCTCTCTCTCTCTCTCTCTCTCTCTCTCTCTCTCTCTCTCTCTCTCTCTCTCTCTCT